GCTATTTGTACTTTTACTCAAGTATCACTTTTAGGTACTTTATACAACATTGTATTTATGTTTTTTAGACTTGTGTTTAAATGTGCAACACAACTTTATTTTAAGTGCAATATTCTTTTAATGTTTAAGTGTAACACCACAGGACTGCTGCTCAAATTTGTTGTGCACAAAATGACAATAAAAAGGTATTTAGATATCTGTCTGTCAACAATATGATATCCAGAGAAATTCAAACTCACAATGACATTTAAAAGAATAAACTGTTAAAAGCTTCCTCCTCCCTCATTGTTTTCTTTCTGCTTTTCGTCAATTTTTTTTCTTGACAGGAATTCAAAGTTTTATTCTTTGCATTAGTTGAGTTTTGAACCTGTAAACAAATCTTCAGTATGGTTAATTCTCATAGCAAATATTAATTAGGATAAGAAATTACTCCAATAATCAGGCTTTCAAAACACAATAAAAACAATGTTTTAAACAAACAAATCTCATTTTTTGGTGGACAGCTTTATCATTTATTTTCAGTCCAGTCTTTGACATGGCAGAGCTAYAAAATGATTATAATAATAAGACTGCAAACATAACTGTTGTGATGTCACAAATTATTAAATTTCACACCAACRAAATCCACACAAACAAAGCTTATGACTCCTAAAACTCCAGGATGCCACAAATCTTTCAAAAATAAATATACATCTATGTAAAGTGTTCATTTTACGGCACTTAGCAGGTAAACAACAGTCTGTGAAGAATATACAACATACCGTAACCGCTAAATCTCGTGCCGTATATTAGCCATTGTGTTCATATAAATTATATTTCAATTACTATTTATGCTAATTATGTTAACAGCGTAATTTACAAACGCGCTTCCATTTAAAGCGCCTTACAAGCAGTAACTTTGACATTTATAAACGAATTCATAACAAACTCAGTTAGCGTTAGCGTCATGTGCTAACGCATTAATGAAACCAACATAAACAAACGTTTAACCAACGCGACGCTGTGCTTTAAATCGTGACAACGAATATTTTAAATATTAAATATTATAAAGTGACGATAGTGAACAAGAAATACAGAATATATCGATTTAAAATGACTATCTTACCCACGAATGACACCAAAACAAACATCGATGGACAGTTTTCCCTGTTAACCTGAACAAGACCCTTTGGTCTCCGAAGTCATGCCTGACTAAAAATATCATAAATAAAACAGACTATATAAAATATGTAGATATGTGTAAAATATTTTGTATCAATTTCATAAATGTTTATTTGTTATTTATTTACTGGATACAAAAAAATTACAAAATAATTTTTTTTCATTAGGGACAGGCAGTCTTTATAATCGTTTTTTTTTTTTTTTTATCTGGCGGCAAGGCAACATTTGTTTTTACCCATGCACAAATATTATTTTTAAATTATTAAAAAGATTGTATTTAGTTTAACATTAGTTGATTTGTAAATTTGAAAGCAGTGAAAGCTTCTGGCTTCACTACGTAAAAGGAATGCATTGATCAATAATAAAAAAAACATTAAATTTTAATTTTATTCAGAAGTTCATTCACCAACAAGACAGCTCTTAAATATTTCAATCTCATCTGGGATTGATCGTCATAACTAACTGATGAAAACAAAAGACCAGAATATTTCTGGAGGCGAGAAATAAACCTGTTACCTGAAATGTTATCTATTAAAAAAAAAAAAAAAAAAAACTACAATTATATCCGTTTTACAACATATTCTGCCAAAACTGGAAACAAAACAAACAAAAAGAAACAGCAGCACTAACAAACTACAAGCAGGAAGAAACTAAAACATGAACAAAAGCAACTAACAACCAAAATGAATACAAAAAACGACTTAATAAACAAACTGCTGTGTTTAAAGGCTTCATCACAAACATTTGCAGGGAAATAAAACCATCCCAGTTTTAAAAATCAACTACTGTAAACAATCAGGAACAGTTTTGGTTGTATTGCATCAAACAAACATTTTATTAAAAACTGTTTCATTAAAAAATAAAATTTATAGACTCAATCATATCAATCAAATATAGTTTTTGTATAAACTTCAATTCTAAACCACTAACTCAGCCGTATCTGTTATTATTTTCCCAAACAAATCGTGTGTTTTGCCAAAATCTAGAAGGAAAAACGTCATTTCTCCTTCAAAAACATATTTTAGTCATAAAGAGTCTTTAGATTGGATCTGATTTGTTTATAGAKTAAAGGTTTTTAAAAATGCTGCACGTGTCACTTTCTGTCCCTCAAATACTGTGACAACTGGTTTTTATTGTGAAGGCAGACTTCATCTCCAGCAGCTGAAGAAGATTTTATATTTTCTTCAGGAATCCGTCAGAAACAATGACGTGAACTCGTAAAATCATTCTGTTCGTCCATAAAATGTCAAACCTTTCGCAGGATACTCTGCAGAAATCTGAGGCCAAATCAGGCGTTTGATGAAAGTTCTGCTTGTTCCTTTGTGTAAAATAATAAAAACAGTTTTTATTAAATTAACACCGTTTTGATTAAAGTCCTTCTGTCGACACGAGGACGAGCTTCAGCTGCCTTTAAGATCAGAGCGGAGAATTAAACCAAGAGGAAAACGTTCTTCTTCTCCTGATAAAAACAATAAAATGTTTAAAGAGCCTCAGTGGCTCTGCCAGGCAGCGGTCCACTCAGGTGATTGACAGGTGTTCCTATGGTCTTTGAGCAAGGCGGCTCTTCCCCTCCTCCTGCTCCACCAGCTTGAAGTGAGTGTAGGACAGGATTCCCGCTAGAGTGCAGAGGATCCCCAACGCCTGATCGCAAAAAGGAAGTAGAGGATTTACAAACAGGAAGTACAGGATTAACTAACAGGAAGTACAGGATTTACAAACAGAAAGTACAGGATTAACCAACAGGAAGTGCAGGATTTACAAACAGGAAGTGCAGGATTTACAAACAGAAAGTACAGGATTAACCAAAAGGAAGTACAGGATTTACAAACAGGAAGTACAGGATTAACCAACAGCAAGTGCA